TAAGGGCTATTAATCCCAATATAAATGTTATTAATCCCAATATAAGGGTTATTAATCTCAATATAAAGGTTATTAATCCCAATATAAAGGTTATTAATCCCAATATAAAGATTATCAATCCCAATATAAGGGTTATTAATCCCAATATAAAGATTATTAATCCCAATATAAGGGTTATTAATCCCAATATAAAGGCTATTAATCCCAATATAAGGGTTATTAATCCCAGTATAAGGGTTATTAATCCCAATATAATGGTTATTAATCCCAATATAATGGTTATTAATCCCAGTATAAAGGTTATTAATCCCAATATAAAGGTTATTAATCCCAATATAAGGGTTATTAATCCCAATATAAGAAGAGTTATTCAACTTTGAAGCTCCCACTAGAGCACTGAGCAAAGGGTGTAGACAGACACAAAGTTACGTAGAAAGTCAGGGAAAAGCATGAAAGGATGGTCAGTCTCACAAGTTAATGTAAATTAAAATAAAATTTTACCCTTTCACCTTTGCAAAAAAATAAGACGTTTAAAACATCTTATGGTGTCCTGGTGTGGCACTATAGGTTATGGACAACAAGATTGGTTTGAACTGCAAGGTTGGTGGTTCAAGCTCACCAGTTGCTCCTCAGAAACCCTATACAGGGTCACTATGAGTTGGAACTGATTTGATGGCACTTAACAACAATAACAAAACATCTTATGCTGGCAAACGTGTAAAGAAGAGAATTTGATCTAACTTTACTGGCAAGGCTGTAACGTGCTGCATTGTTTTTGGAAGGCAATCGAGTGATATCTATTACAACTCAGGATTGTTATGCCCTGTGATTTAGTATCAGTTCTTTTAGACTTTATCCTACAACAGGAAAAGCAATAAAACATAAGGTAGCATACCGTAGCATTGTCATTTAAATATAATGTAAAACTGGAAATGTCAAAATGGCCCTGCCCCATTAGTGGGGTCTGGCTGACCGAACTGGGTTATACCTACTCATGGAATATAATGCAACTTGTAAAAACACTTAGTGTGAGATACAACCCATTTGACCAAGCCTCGATGGCTTGATAATCAGAGCTCGACTAGAGGAAGATTAAAACAAAACAAAACAATTTTTGATAAAGGAAATGAGTGTAAGTTGCTACAGTTTGATGAACATAACCTATACTTATGGATGTAGTAGCTCAGAACACCAACTGAGAGGGAAGAGTCTTCACATCAGGTATCAATCCTATCCCCTCTGTATACAGGGTAGATAGGGATGGGCAACTTAGACATTGGCTACCTAAAATGAGGGGGCAATGAAGGCACAAAGTGACTGGCTTATAAGGTTTCAAGGGGGAGTTTAGTTTAAGAGTGTGCGGGTGAAGATAGAGTCCCCACTGAATAGTTTTCATCTTGTCTAGAAGGGTCTGGTGAAAAGAGATGGGAATAAAATTCTTATGATTCAATAGTGAGTAATTGTTATCATGACTAATTGTGACTGTCACAACTATAAAGGTAGAAATTTTGTAACAAAAATGGGGGAGTAGTTAATCTTACAGTCCAGAAATAAAGGACCCTAGGACCATCAAGGGAGAAGAGCACAAGCGGAATGTGGGACCCTATCCGGAGAAGCAGTGACATAAGAGATGGAGGCAGAGATGAGGACATGGAGAGAGGGAGCAGCTAATGACTCTAGACTCATGGGAAGAGAGGGACTAAGTGCTAGCGGCCAGGAGGCAAGCTTTCAGAATGTGCCCTTTGGTGGTTTAAATGATTATATATTCCTAAGTGTTTTTGTGTATATCCCTACCCTCCACCCCCCACAAAAATACCAGAGGGAATGGAAGCAAATCCTGTTGAAGGATGATGCACGGAGGAGATTGTAATCATTGCAATGAAACAATGGTGTAAAGCCGGTGTTCTCCCATGTAAACTATCACTCAGTTCACAATAAAAAAAAAACAAAAAAAACAATAAACACTTAGTGTGCCTATATAGTTTGACCTAGAAAGATGTCCATGACATATTAAATTACTGTAGTTATATAGTGATTTATTTCCATTAGTGTTAAAAAGGGGGAAACACCCTAAATATTTAGGAAGTGTGGAGCAGTAGGATAAGTATTGGAATGCTAGCTGAAAAGTTGGCAGTTCAAACCCACCGGTCCTCAAAAACTTTATACAGAGACTCTACGAATTTGAACCAATTTGATGGCAATTAACAAGTGTCTGAAAGGTTGGCAGTTTAGACCTACCCCCCTGGCTCTGAGGGAGAAACACCTGGTTATCTGCTCCAGTAAAGATCCCAGCTTAGAAAACCCCAAGGGGCAGTTACACTCCATAACACATGGTGTTGCTATGAGGTGAAATCCACTGGCTATCACCCAGCGACAACTTAACCTGTGCATACAGAATTGACTGAGCATAAAGATACAAGTAGAGGACTGCAGGGGTTAACAGTTAACTACAGGACTGCCAAGGAGAAGCTGCTGACCAGATGAAAGCCGTGTCCACTAGAGCAGTCTCCAACACGAATGTAGAGAAGGGGCTGGGTCATTTCTAAGTGCTGTGACTGTGCATGTATTGTGTCTGTCATTCTAGTTACTACTGACGTTTGAGGACATTGCTGTCTACTTCTCAGAGCAAGAATGGCAGAACCTGGAGGCGTGGCAGAGGGATCTTTACAAGCATGTCATGAGAGCCAATTATGAGATTCTTGCCTCCCTAGGTAAGAACGATTCACCTTTGTGGGTACAACATGGAGCTGGCATGGAGAAATTGTGAAATCACATTTGAAGGGAAAAGCTAGTTACAGAACAATACCGTATGATTTGTGCAACATTTCAAAGCAATATTGCAATAGCGTATGGGTTTATTCATGTGTCTGTACTTACAGTTCAGTTGTACCACCACAGGATAAGCCCTGGGCCACAGTCTCAGTTTCAACTGCAAGGTCGGCAGTTCAGACTCACCTGCTGCTCCTTGGAAACCTGATACAGGGTTGTTTTGAGTTGAAATTGACTTGATGGCAACAACAATGTCTTTAAAGAGTAGAAACAAACAAGGGAAGGATTGTTGCTGTCAAGTGGGTTCGCACTCAGTACAATCCTGGACAGGGTTTCCAAGGAGCGGCTGGTGGGTTTGAACCACCAACTTGTGGTTAGCAGTCCGTTGCTTGTCCTAGAGTGCCGCCAGGACTCCAATGATAAACATCAGGTGTAGGGTAGTGCTTACATCATGAGAAGGAGACGGATACAGAGGCTTAAGCTGTGATGTCTCATATCATCAGCAAATGAAGGTCCCGTGGGCTTTTCTTCCATGGGCTTTACTCTATTCGCATCATCACGGTCAACTCTACTTTGAGGAGGCAGCTCTTCCCCAATTACATTCTGAGTGCCTTCCAACCTGAGGGGCTCATTTTCCGGCACTATATCTGACAGTGTTTCTCTGCTATTCATAAGGTTTTCAGTGACTATATATTAGGAAGTAGTTCATCACTCCTTCTTCCTAGTCTGTCTTCATCTGGAAGTTCATCTGAAATCTGTCCACCATGGGTGACCCTGCTGGTATATAAAATACCTGTGGCATAGCTTTTAGAATCACAGCAACTCACAAACCACCACAGTATGACAAACTGACAAGACAAAAAAGAAGTAAAAGGTCAAAATGGTGTCAGAAGAGACACTGAAGCTTGCTCTCCAGCGTAGAAATGCTAAAGCAATCGGAAGAAATGAGGTACAAGAGCTGAACAGAAAACTTCAAAGATCTGCTTGAGAAGATGAAGCCAAATATTACAATGGAATGTGCAAAGATCTGGAATCAGAAAACCAAAAAGGAAGAACATGCTCAGCATTTCTCTGGCTGAGGGAACAGAGGAAAAAATTCAAGCCTCGGCTTTCATTGTTGAAAGATGCTCTGGACAAATTATTGAATGATGCAGAAAGCATCAAGAGAA